TAATCCTAGCACTCTGGGAGGCCGAGGCGGGACGGATTGCTCAAGGTCAGGGGTTCGAAACCAGCCTGAGCGAGACCCCGGCTCTTACCAAAATAGAAATAAATTAATTGACCAACTAAATTAATATATACAAAAAATTGCCGGGCATTGTGGCGCATGCCTGTAGTCCCGCTACTCGGGAGGCTGAGCGAAGGATTGCCTTGAGCCCCGGAGATGAGGTTGCTGGTGAGCCAGGCTGACGCCACGGCACTCACTTCTAGCTGGGCAACAAAGTGAGACCTGTCTCAAAAAAAAAAAAAAAAAATTCGGCTGTGGAAAGTAGCAAGGGACTGACAAGTGGCCTCACATAAGGCCCAAGCCTTGGAACCACTCTAATACTCCCTATAAACAGATGTCAGCATAAAGATTTTGAGGAAAACCAGTCCCTTCGTTGTTAAACGTGTACCTTCCAGTATACCAAGTGCTGACAGTTTCTCAGGCAGCACCATACTTTAGTGAAGCACAAACTTTGTGCTATATTAAAGATATGTTAGCTTTACTGGGGCTATGAATTTGATTATTTTGAAATGACTGGCAGTTTAGCAGGTCCTGGTTGCCAACTCCCTTGAGACTTTTCTTGCAACTGTACACAAGGGCACCCCTCCCCTTTGCAAGTGTGGATATTTCTTTATTGTATACTCATCCAAAACAGGGTTGCAGCCCAATGTTCCATTTCTATTTTATATATTAAAATTAGCATGGGTGTTTAATGTTATTCTGAGCATGCATGACAAAATTATTAATTGTACTTAAGTATAATTAATTTATAACATTTACATATGTATATAATTTTGATATAATTAGTATTTATATAACAAATAACAGATTATTAACTATAATTAAGAAACTTTATGATAACAAGAGGTAATTAACACTTCATAGAACCATGAATTCTCACATCACATGTTGGTTTCTCTTTTTAGGCATTCTTTTGTTTCCTAACTTGTATACTAATTACTTACATATCTCTCCCACATATTTTAGACACCCTTAGGCAGGGACTATTAACTTAATTGCAGCCCTAGCATTTGTAACACAGTGATATTTTCCCTGGCCATGCCAAAAATTAATAGTCTTTAATTTTTATACCTCAAGTGCAGTACTTTTAAGGTAGTTTTGGGATATATATCTGAGTTTCTCTATTGTAGCAATACCTTTTGTTGCTTCTTTCTCTTCTGGGGCCTTGTAAATTGCTTCAGAGCAGAGTTTTCAAAACTAGTCACTGTGTGTGATTTCCACAATTTTTGCCAAATATGTCACTTGTACTATTATCTAATTAACATTTCCTTTAAATAAATTCAGGGCCTTTACCTAAAATTGTATTCATGATGGAATTATATAACTATTGCAAATGGATCACTTGCCTTCAATAGGTCTTGGTAAAAATTGATACAGTGAAAACAAAATTCTAGCTTTATATTCTTACCTGCCCCTCGCTGATCCAAGGAGAGAGAGGGGAGCAATTATAATATTAGAGAAGCATTAAATACACACTGGTACTAATCCGAGACTTTATCCTTTACATAATAAAATGAAAAGGAAGTTTTAAAGGTGGTCCTTTCTATGAAAGAGAGTGACTGGTATTCAGGGAATGCTAATTTCCTTCCTGACTTTCAACTCTATGTGGTTAGTTTTTAATACATGAGGAGAAAGTGAAGACTGTGTTGAGTTATGCGTGTTAGCTGCAGTTGAGCAAGAGGTACATGTGTGCATGAGTCGCAACTGTGGTTACTACACAGCTAAACACGTGGCCCTGATTTTAAATTTCTGGACTAAGAAATTTAAGATATCCCTTCTCCAGTTACTTCCTATAGAACATCTGATCCTCTCATCGAAAATATTTAATTGTTCCTGTCATGCAAGTGACATAGAGTTGGAGCTTTATCACCTACTTGTTTCATGGTTGTGTTTTAATTTTTTTTTAAATCTCCAGAATTTATTTTATTATGCTTGATGGGTTTGATTTCAGGAGAGTTGAGAAAATTTTTTTTCCACATAATTTAAGCCTCTAAAAATACTTTTTCAGAAAAATTTAGTAATTTTTAAAAAAAATCTATATTTCTACAGATTAATTTCACAAGGTAATTTTTCAGAACAAATATTTTTGGACAAAATTTTTAAAAACTTGCAAATAAAAAGTAGTAGGCCACTCATCTTAAACTGAACTAAGTTATGAACCCTCCATAGACTGTCTAGAACAGGAACTTATTGTTAAATTCAACAATCAGCACAGATTCCCAGAATGGGGCAGGGCTGAGAGGCCAGGCTGTAGATGATGGCAGAATGGAAAACCAAGATGGAATAATTTGCTTTTGTACCTAAAACAATGGATGGATTTATATAGATAAAGAGAAACAAGTTCTGTGATTTCAAAGACCTATCATTTGGCCCGTGGAAGAGAAATTAATTCGTTTGAGGCATTGCAGATTAATTTTGGAGGGTCAGGAAATTATGTTTCTTCTTTTTCAATGCTTTCATTACTTAGCCACTCTAGCCATTTACAATGATTTTGAGTTTTCTTGCTCTTACTGGATTCTGTTAACATCCTCCTCGGGTCTACATGGCATAATTATTAGAATTAAGATTTTGAAGAATCAATTAGAAGTGTCTTTGCTTGGGGACAGGACACCCAATTAGGAAGTATTGCCAAGGCAGCTACTCAGCGTTCACTGTCTTTCCTTTCAGCCATAACTGAATCCTGTTTTTTGAGAATAACAATGATTCTTTTGATCTCTGTGAAAGAAGGAAAGACCAAAGCTGATCCTCAGAATCCACACATGAATGTCTTCCCCCCTCCACTTCTCCAAAGATTCAGCTAAATTTGAGTTGCAGTTATGTTTTCAATGTAATTACCAGGCACAGAATAAAATTACTTCCTTTATTATCATAACTGAAAAACGTCATTTCTTTCTTCTTCCAGTTTTTTTTAATGTTACATTTTTTAATCAAGGAGATTCGTGTAAATATTACTTTTTCTCTGGCAACTCTCTAATAAGAGTCTTTCAAAGCAATGCCACAGTGATCTTTTCCTGCGTCAGAACCCCTACCTCTCAAGCAAGTAGTTTAGTGCCTTAGCCCATAATTTCCTTTAGAAAACATAATGATGACTGTTCCCCAGAACAGCAATTATGAACGTTCAATAGACTAGATGATGTAGTGGAAATAGCTGTGATCTAGTCCTGGCCCCAATATTTACTATTTGTCCTTTGGCAAGTAAAGATCTGAATTCTGAACCTGCAGTTTCATATCTAGAAAACAGCAATATTTTGCTTATAATGTCATCTAGAAGGAGGATCAAATGCGAAAGTGCACATATGCTTCTTTTGAAACCCTGCAATGAACTTTGCAGTGTAAGCTTTATTATTATCACAGCACTAGAACAACCGAGGCAGCACGCAAGGGTTCATAGAGAAAGCATCATGATGGTTAACCTCATTGTTCAGTGCTCAACTTTGTGCAGCCACTGACATTCATATGGGCCAATGACGTTTTGAGAGCTGGAATTTGGTGTTGGGTGCCTCAGTTATGCTCTAAACAAACCCATGGAGACAACCACTGAGATCCCAAACTTAGGAATTTGGACCCATCCAGATCCACCCTTACTCACAATCTGCCAGGCTCGATTCGTGTACATATCTGGTCAATGGACTAACTCAAAGGCTTCATGAAAATTTACTTTACAGCAATAATGACACAAGTGATACTCCAGCCATAGTGAAGTCGACTGAGTGACAAATCTGCATTAGTAATCTCTTCTTACTTCTCTCACTTGTCATCTCTCACATCAGATGTATCCATCAGGATGGCTTTTGACACACAAAGTACTCTAGGATTTGGCCTAAGGTCTGGATGGCTGTGTCATCCAGAGAGCTCTCTAAAACACAGATCTGCAGCAGATTGGAGACCTTGAAAAGTGTACGATCATGTTGCATTTTATTTGGTGAAGAAAGCTGAACCCAAGCAGAACTGACTGAGGAAATGATGTCAGCAAAAGAAGCCCAGCAGATGATGGGACAGTGTGAAGGTCAATTGGATTTGTCAACATGGCTGGGCCACGGTGCTCGGTTGTTCTGGCAAATGCCGGTGTAGATGTTGCTGTGAAGGTAATTTTTAGATGTGATCGACATTGAAATTAGTAGACTTTGAATGAAGCAGATTAACCTCCATAATGTGGGTGGGCCTCATCCAATCAGTGGAGGCCTGAAGAACAAAAGACAGGCTCCCCAGAAAAGAAATCTGGCCTCATGCCTACAACATAGAAACCATGCCTGAGTTTCTCACCTGCTCGGCCTGCCTGTGGAATTTGGACCCAGTACTGCAAAATCAACTCTTACTGGAATTTCTAGGCTCTCAGCTTACCCTGCAAATTTCAGATTTGTCAGCCCTGCAATTTAATTTAGTGAGCCTACTCCTTACAATCGATCTCTCTCTCTCTCTCTCTCTCCATATGTATGTTCTATTGCATCTGTTTTCTCTGGAGAAGCAGGCTTGCTGTGATCGTTTTGGAAGAAAGGAGTTTTTTCCTTCACTTATTTTTACGACACAACGAAAATGCCATGGGCAAGTGGAAAGCAGTTTAAATTGTACATTCACTGACCGAAGAGCCTTTTCAAACCACATCTACTTCCGGTTTTACAACACTTACCTTCTTGCATCCCAACCAAGTGTCTAACTTAAAATCTTACTGACGGCAGCAGAATTCTGTGTTCAAGAAGCCAAGTTTCTAAATAAAAGTTTGGTTTCTTTGGGTCAAATTCTAATCTTATCTCAAGGATAATACTTTGTGATCTTAAATTATATTTATTTACAGATATCCTAAAAATCCACTTGTGTGCTTTGGAAAGAAACCTAAAACTTGCTATCTATAAAAACATAATGGAGCTGTAATTCACTTTCATTCCTGGAGGCCCAAGACATTATTTTTTTAACAAACTGAGAACACAGGCAAAAACCCACCGTTTAGAGAATGGCATAGAGTTGTCGACGCAGCCTGCATGTTTGCACACACGCCAATCAGGAACAATCTGACCCAATTATCCAGCCAGAACTGTGCCAGGCCCCTTGGGTGTGGAAGCTGTGATTTAATGAGAGGCACAAAGCTAAAACATTAAGCATTTATATCAATATTTTCAGGTTCACAAAACCTTTTGTTCGGATCTAGATATAAAACAATAAAATGAAAATTAACCCAAAAAGTTGAGCTGTTTATTCAAAGTTATGGGAGTGGATGGAGCAGCACCCATCTCCCCAGTTCAGCTCAGCTCCCCACTGCCTGGGGGCTCTGGGAGGACCCCCCCACACCATTGAGGGCTCAAGCTTCCCTATCGCCTCAATGCCTAGAACCAATGGATTATAGGTGTGTTGTCCATTTAAAGATATTTGGGGGGTAGAGAATCATTGAAAAAAGCTATATATGTGTGTATGTACGTTTTTATAGAGAGACACAGAGAGAAGTACTTCAATTTCAGAAATTTAAAAATTTCTAAAAATGTGTGCCTTAAAATCCGTATTTCACAAAAGTTATGTGAAAAGGACTACAAGGCTAGAGAGATTCAGAAGAGGGAATGGCAGCAATGTCAGTGAGGAAGGATAAAAACGAGAAAGTTTGTTCAATGTGGCTAAGAGACACTGAGGGATTAACAAGGGAAGGGGCAGTATGGCCGGGGAACGGTTCCTGTGGGAATCTCGGAATAGCCCCTATACCTGCCTTATCTTCTGCTGAATGTTTAGGGCTGGGGTTTATTTTAATCTTCCTTCTTGCCATTTTTTCCCTACTTTCAGAGTATTCTCCCATTGATACTGCTTTCTCTAATGTGTTACTAACGTGGGAGAAAAATGTGTTACTAATTTGGGAAATATTTTGGCAAGAATAAAATTCCTACCTAAAGGCCTTTTATCATTGTCACTGTTAGTCCATAAGCACAAAGTTTCAAAAATTTAATTTTTCAATATTCACACCCTAATTCAAGCATGAGGAAACCACTGAGCCAGATTTCATCACCTCATATTTTTTATGGCAAAACCATATATTTTCATTGTTTACACAGGCAGTGTGGACTCTCGCACCAAATATTGTACATCACAAAAGGTGCAGCTGAGCCTGGAAATACTTTTTAAGAAAAGTACAGGACTCAGTGTCTCCTTTGCTCTCTGGCTTTGTTCATAGAGTAGCTGGATACACAGCTTTGTATCAAGGGATACAGCATCTTTTTTAAGAGCATGCTTTTCCTAAAGCTAAATAACAGAATACTTCTGGAAAGTTTTAGAAGCAATCGAATCAGGTTAAGAAGAGGGAAACCAGGTTGCATACAACTCAACCTACGTGTTAACGTGGACCATAGTAAACATTTGCACGTGTTGACATGCAGAAATATCCCTGTGGATTTAAGAATGTGTTTGTTTTCATCCTTATCTACCTGTAAAATGGTAGGGGTATGAATGTTAGATAGAGTGATAGCCACCCTTGGGACTGCATGAGTCCTAAAGCATGCTAACCACAGGCTCCAGGTCACCATATATGTATCCCCCCAACCCCTCCCACCACCCACCCCACCACCACCATGGTGGAAAAATTGTCTTCCATGAAACTTAGGAGCCAGCCATACAGCAGGAGGTGAGCTAGGAACTCGGCGGGGCTAGAGCTGAGCGTGGGGAGGTGAGCAGCGAGGGAACTTCTCTGGATTTGCTGCTCCCCATCACACGCATCACAGCCTGGGCCCTGTCCCCACGTCCCCGTGGAAATCCACGAAAATGGTCCCTGCTGCAAAAAAGGTTGGGGACCAGTGCTGTATGTAACATGAAGCCTGAAATTCTTGAATTTCAGGAAAACATGAATTTCTCTTAAAATAAGGGATTTGTGGCCCTCAGACTGTAACAGCTTAGGGTGAGAAGGAGAAGGACCGAGACTCCAGGGAGGGTGCAGGGCTGGTCCTCAGCATCATGAGGCCGTTTTCACAACAGAGGGGGGAGTTTAAAGAGGAGAAGCTGGACCCATTCCCTCTCCTCCTAAGCTGAGTTTTTCTTTATTCCTTTGCACATCACACGTTCAGTTCTAGTCAAATCAGAATAAGAACTGGCTATAAAATATATTTTTAGACAACTATGCTGCTCCCACTTTTTCTGTGTCAGTCACCACGGTTACTGAGATTCCCACCATTGAAATCTATTGAGACTATGAAATAAAACCAATGAATCTAGCAATCAAGACTGAAAATTTTGGAAATTTTGGTTCCATTCCCAGCTCTGCCAGGGAATAGGGGATAAAAAATAGCTGTCCACTGCACCACACAGGGAGAGACTGCTCCACAAAAATAGGAAGGCAATTTGTAGAAAATGTAAGAATTGGGGGATGGATATGCTTGAAGCTCTTACTCGAAGGGGGAGGGGGGTATGGACAATATATGTAACCTTAACACTTGTACCTACATAATATGCTAAAATTAAAAATAAATAAATAAAATAAAAAGAAAATGTAAGAATTCATAGGCTTCTGAGGTGATATCTATTGAAATCCCTGAATTTCAAAAGATATTATTTTAAAATAAGACAATATGCAACAGAAACCGTTTACTATACATATAGGTCTCATAATATGTGATAAATGCACACTGAAGATTGTGTCCTCTAAGAGACAGTACTAAAGAGGACAAAGAAACAGCAAAGAAACAGTGAACACCCACAGGCCTCAAATATGACATTGAAAATGAAGTTAGTGGAAACCCTTCTATAACTCATTACTTACATTGTATTTTTCTTTCTTATGGGCTAACTGCTTGACATGACAGATGGCCCAAAAGTTTTTAATTGGGTTTTGTAAAGAAAGCCATCTTAAATTAATTGATTTCAAATTGTGCTACTTGTAGCCCTAAGGATTGTGAAAAAGAGCCCAGCAGTAGGGCTCAGAGCATCCAAATTATGGCTGTCAGTGGCTTCTACGGGCAGGTCTGGGAGAGACAAACACTAGGCTTTAGCTTGGGATTTAATTAGAAGCAAAGGCTCTACTATTTTTCAGATGCCTGAAAGTCTTCCCACATAATTTGTAAACTGTACATGAAATCTTTTGTAAAATAAAAAGTCCCTTGTGAAATGATAATAATCATTCCCTAATTTATGTGGGTTGTAGGATAATGGGTTGTCATGGCAGAAGGAATATATTGACACTAAGTTCAAAATCATAATTACAAGGAAACATATATTTCTTCTTGATGCTGTTCTCCTTGTAGACAAACAAAAGTTCCAGTAGATACAGCTCTTCCTAAACAAATGACTTTAAAATATAATTTTTAAAACATGGAGATTTTTTTTGGGGGGGGGGAATGCAACAACTTTATTAAAAGAAAAGTGCAATGAAATTTGTTGAAAGCTTAAAGTTAGATACCTGCCCTCAAGTGCAGGACCAAGTGCAGGGTGGACTCAACCTCGAGGTTGATGGTCTTGCCAGTGAGGGTCTCCACAAAGATCTGCATCCCACCTGTCAGACGGAGCACCAGGTACTTTTTTCCAGATGAGCTGAAGTGTTACTTGATATACGAAGAACAGGAAAATGTGACCAGTTCTCAGGAGCTGAGGCCAAACTCAAGATGGTCTACATGTTCCAATGATGAGACAAAAAGCAGCTGTTAAAATTCTGCTCAGTGATGCAAAGAAAAATAAGCTCAAAAAGCACAAACATATGGGCAATCTCAGCATAGAAACAGAAAATATTTACAAATGGAAATTTTAGATCTGAAAAATATCTGAAAGGAAAAAATTACTAGATGGGTGAAATAGTATAATTGAGATGACAAATGAAAGGGTCAGTGAATTAGAAAATAGGACAATAGAAAGTAGCTAGTCTGAAGGAGAAAAAAAAGGGTTTGAAAATAATTAACAGAGCCTGAGGGGACCTGTGGACAATATCAAAAGGTTTAATAACTGCATGTTCTCAGTCACATGCAAAAGCTCAGGAAAGTTGATCTCAAAGAAGTAGAAAGTAGAACAAAGGTTACAGGACGCTGACAAGGATATGGGGAAAAGGAAGGAAGGGAGAAATCTGTTAATGGACACAAAATTACAGCGAGTTATGAGAGTAAGTTCTAAAGTTTTACAGCACTGTTGGATGCCCCTAGTTAAAAATAATATAATTTCCAAATAGCTAGAAAAGAGGATATTGAATGTTCTCCATGATATGAGTTTGAGATGATGGATATGCTAATTACCCTGATCTGATCACTATACATTGTATGCATCAAAATATCACTACCTGCCCCCAAAATATGTACAGTTATTATCAATTAAAAATAAAAATAGAAAATAAATTTGAAAAAGTTTTAATATACATGTAACTGGAACCTTAGAATGAGAGAAGAGAGAGAATGATGAAAGAAAAATATGTTTGAAGTAATAATGGCTGACATTTTCTCAAATTTGGAAAAAGATTTTGGAAAAAAAATTGAATTTACAAATTCAAGTTCAGAAAAGGTCAAACAGAATAGATGCAAAGAAATTTATGATTTTTACGCATCAAAGCCAAATGACTGAAAGCCAAAATTAAAAAGAAAATCCTGAAAGCAGTTAAAATAAAAGGAAAAAAATTACATACAGATGATTAATGATTAAGAGATTACAGACTGGTCATCAGAAAGCACAGAGGCCGAAAACCAAACAACGACAACAGAAAAAACAGTGAAATATCTTTAAAGTTCTGAAAAGAAAAAAATTGGCAAACAAAATTCTATATTCAGTGAAAATACCTTTCGAGATTGAAGGTGAAATGAAGACATTTTCAGATAAAAGAAACTAGAAAAATTACTGGCACCAGACCTACACTATAAGAAATGCTGAAGAAAGTTTCTATGGGATCAAATGAAACCGATTAGAGGAAAAGTTGGATCTTCAAGTATAAATAATGAGCATTAGAAATGTCTACTTCATGTAAATTATACCTAAATAAAATTAATTTTTGAAAATCTCAAGGCAGTTGGCCATGCGAGGTGGTGAATATAACCTTCCGCCACAACTGCAGGCAGAGCAGGCAGGCAGGAGCGTGCTTCCCCAGGAGAACTCTCTAGAACGTCTCCCTGGAGCTCTGCACCTGCTGCTTGGACCGGTCAGAACCTGGGCCCGGCCTCTGCTCTTGACCAGGAAATAACCTGTTTGAACGACCCCTTTTTCCTCCTACAAATACGACTTTGTATGACCTGGAACTGCTATAAAGAACAAAGTGCTGTAGAAATAGGTAGGATATCTTGTTCACCATTATGAACGTCCTGGCTGCTGCACTACAGTTTCAGAAATCAAAATGTACACGATAACTGAAGCTAAAGGCTTGATTTCCCCCCCAAAATCATAAAAAAAAAATTAGACACATACTGATCACTTAAAAGTGTCATCCCTCTCAGGTCAACTCAATCTTGACATTCTTCAGAATGAAAGACTTCAAAACTCCTCTGCATTGGACGTGACAGTTAACTGCAACACCTGGCCCTAGAGGGGGTCCGAGCTGGAAGGGGAACATCAGTGGGGTCAACAGAAAAATCTGGAACCAGAATAGGAGATTAAAATATGATAGCCGTGCTAAATGTACTGAAGGTGATAACTGGATGGTGGTTATGTAAGAGAATAACCTTACTTTTAGGAATATATAAGCATTAATATTTAAGGATATAATCCTAGCACTCTGGGAGGTCTAGGTGGGCAGATTGCTCAAGGCCGGGGGTTCGAAACCAGCCTGAGCAAGAGCGAGACCCCGTCTCTGCTATAAATAGAAAGAAATTAATTGGCCAACTAATATATATATAGAAAAAATTAGCCGGGCATGGTGGCGCATGCCTGTAGTCCCAGCTACTCAGGAGGCTGAGGCAGCAGGATTGCTTGAGCCCAGGAGTTTGAGACTCACTCTAGCCTGGACAACAAAGCGAGACTCTGTCTCAACAAAAAAATTTAAGGATAAAGGGGCATGGTGTATATATCTGACCTTCAAGAATAGCTACACACACATACAGAGAGAGAAAGAGAAAGATGGTGATAAAGAAAGACAATAAAGGATAAAGCAAATGGGGTAAAATGTTACCAAATAGATGAATCTGGTACAGGGTATATGGCTGTTCTTTTATTATTTTATACTTTTCAGTATGTTTACAAATTATTTCCAAATAAATAAAAACATTTAAATAGAAAATAAATACACATTTAAAAAACTATGGAAAAAAACAAAACCAGTCTGAACGTAAGTAGTGACAAGTAGAAAAAAAAAGTTCAATTCTGTTAATAACAAGAAATACCTGTTTGTGAAAATCACTTTATACCAAAAAGCCACTAGAGTTTAGGGACAGTTGACATGCAATGTTCTTTCTCAACTGTCGTGCTGTGGTTTACATGGATCCTCCTGCTTCCTGTTGCATGGCATTTGCCTTTTCTATACACAGAGACCCACATGTGTACATGAGAATACACTTTTCCACACGGCACTTTCTAAACGCTGTGTCTGCCTCTCTCTGCTCCTCTCTTTTATCTCTCCTTCCCCCATCTCCACCATGTCCATCTCTATTCCTCTCTCATTCCCTCATTCTGCCTAAGGCAGGAACTTGGAATTTAATTTTGGGTCTTGAACACACTTACATGGGAATACTTCTTGACATCTGCAGGGCGGATCTGAAGGGGAATGGTCTTTGGTTCCTCCTTCTCTTTGGCTGGATCAATACACCTAATCAGGTTCAATAATAGCCCTAAATAGAATAGGATGAATTAGCTAATAGCTTACTTGGAAATCAATATATGTTGCTAATATGTTCGATATACTTTATGTTATTTTTTAAATCATATGGATAGTCTCAGCAAGATCAAATTCTGGGTTGAAAAACCATGCAAAATGTTTCATAAAAATAAGGCACAGTGCAGAAAATAGCAGGTTGCCCTGTGATGTGGGATTTGGACATCAGACCCAGTTCTCAAGCACTTCTGCCTGGACCGGAGGGCCCAGAACCTTCTCGGGTCCAACTGTGGAAAGGAACAGTGGCGTTGAGAATTGCTCAGTAGAGTAACTCACATTTATGGAAATTTAATATAATATTAGCTCCAATTCATAGGTTGGAGAGAAGGGAAAGACAAAAGTGGTGACCAGAACTTCCTCAAAAATAAACAAAACATGGATGTAAATGAGATACCATTATTTACAGAAGCAAAGAGGGTATATCTAAACAAGATATTATTTGAGGATAGTCTAACAACTTCAATTCAGAAAAGGGGGCATAGCTCGGGGACACTGCTTTGCAGAGTTTGCATTTCTCTATTGCAAATTAATAATTTTAAATACATATACTGATAAAATACCTTTGAAGGAAAGAGCTCCATTGTTCCTTTAGTTCTGAAGAACTGCAATTGTAAGAAATGGGAGAAAAAATTAAACGACATAAAGTATTTGTACTAACACATTCACGCTGTCTTTCCAGATAGAAGCATCAGCAGCCAGCTGTCACTGATGTATGTGGACGCGTGTATCAGTTGTACCTTCCTCCTAACTGGGCATCTGATGGACCCTGCTCTTATATGAGGATGGGAAGTGGATCTCAGAGAAGAGAGGTTGGTTTGGAATTTAAACAGTTGGTTGCAACTATCGGATGCAGGTTATGTGATCCACGGGTATGTGATCACCGGCCAGTCACTTAACCACTCTGAGCTATGGTTTCCATAGCCGAGAAAGGGGTTAATTCAACCTCGGTGTGTTCTTGTAGCTTGAAGTGCTGTTCTAATATAAAGAATATTATTATTCAGATTAAATCATACTTAAAAAATCAGCATTTGCACGGAACACTCTTGGCCCAGAAACAAGAATGTTTTTAAGGAGAAATCCCCCCAACATTTTATTTCTTTATACACATAGCAAAACTGCAGTATGTTAAATCAGTTCCTAGAAAAGTTCTTCTTCATCACTCTAATCTTCTGATGAAGATCAACTCACCTACTGCTTAGTCATGGTTAATATTTTCTGTGCTATTTAAACTGCAGGATTTAATATTTGAGGCTCATTCCTACATGGACTTATCACTTCATAGCTTTTAAAAATTTCTGGTAAATTATATATAACATAAAATTGACCATTAGTGACATTTGGTACATTCAAAATATTGTGGCACAATCACCATTATCTCATTTCAGAACTCTTTCTGAAAACAAAAGCAAACCCTGGTCCCACTAAGCAGTCACTCTCCATTCCCCGCTGTCCCCACCCCTTATGCCACATTTTAATTCTCCATTCATCAGTGGATGCACATTCGGTTTGCTTCTATTTTTTGGCTATGATGAACAATGCTTCTATGAACATTTGCATGCAATTTTTTTGAGTGGTTGTGTGTTTTCTTTTCTGGGGGGTCTACACCCAGATATGAAATTGCTGAGTCAAATGGTAATTCCATGTGTAACTTGTAATAGAACTAGCAAACTTTTCTGCAGGGGCTGCCACCTTTTATGTATCTACAGCCATAGCCCCCCATTTCCCACCTCCACCTGGTCTCAGACAGGTCTTGGGACCTGTCTCTCAGGAGAGTGGACCACCCATGTGGCCCCAAACCTGCACACATGCATACACATGCATGGACACCACTTTTAATTACTCAGGCCAATTTATAGAAGAGTAGAAATAGCATTTAGCAAAAGAACTAGGGGCAGACATTGTTGTAAATGCCTTATACATATCCACTTAGCTTTAGAGCCAACGAAATGTGTAAACCTAGATTCCACATTTCCACCCTCATTAAAATTAAACGTTTCTTGGAAACTCCCTCATCAAAGACTTTATATATTCCTAATTTGAACTGCTTCCTTTCACCTACAACGTGGAGAGGACATAAAGCAAAGGAACTGACAACCTTTAGAGAAATCCATTGTGGAAAAGAAGACATGCAGGGCATGATACAAACACGTATTTCTTCCCAGTATGCTTTGGAAATGTTTTCCTTAAGTCAACCACTGCATGATCGAATTCAGTAAATTAGCAACTTGGAAACATTTTAGTTGTCTCAACTTTATGATGATGCCTGAGATTTTGGCAGAGTGAGGTGAGGAGGGGAGGGGAGAAGGGTGTTGAGCGTGTGCGATGAACTCTCAATGTGTGAAACAAGTTTGAGACACGGAGTGTGGTTGCTCAGAGCAGCAGATGTGTGTTGCACAATCTCTGTGAAGCCAAGCATGTCAACTCGGGGCGTTCAGGGCAGGGAGCCACGTGGCCCATCCTCCTGCCAGCCTGAGCATGTGTATTGGAAAACTAACCTTCGCTCCATGGATCAAACATTTGTTTCAGATCGTTGCCTCCCTGTAGATACCAAATAGGATGATCTGCTACACAACAAGTAAGGCAACCTAGTGTTTGACGATATGATTAATTTTATTTGTATAATTAAATACCATTTCTTTAGGAAATTAATTGGGGAGTATAAAAGCAACTTTTCAAACATAATTGGACTATTGAATAATACTTAATGAAGAAAGATCTATTTTAGTAGTTTAAAAACACAGATGACACTTGGGCGTGGAGAGGAGGGTGTTGGAGAGGAAGCTATCTAACTATTATCCACTATCTAACTATTATCCACTTGTATGGACTTGCACATAAAAACCTCTTTGGGAAAAACACATAGCATACAAGTGTCACGGGGAAGCCCAAAAGTGGGTTACTGGCTTAATATGCATCTTATTAAAGTGTTTTTCTTTTTTCGGAAAATCCATGGAGAAAATCAATCACATGTTTCTATCCTTCCTAGACCATATGAAGCTGACCGTGTCCCTTCATAGCTAACCCACGTTAACACAGGCCCCGCTGTGGGTCTTGCCGGAAGGTGGCCAGGAAGTCCACCGTGGGCCAGCCCAAGACAAAGGACCTTCCCGCACAGGTGTGGCCTTTCCCTGCTTTGTCCACACGGCCGGCTGTCCACAAGTTGCTCTGCGGTATTTCACTTTTTATCCTAAAGGTTTCTTTATACCTAAAAAGACAATCAAGGGAGATCTCTGTTAGTTTCCTGAGCGCGGGAGCAGCTGTGCTCACGGTGAGAATCCTGCTGTCCCTGCTGGGCGCAGCTCGCCTCAGTCATTGCTGTCACCGTGGTGCAGACTGACTTTTACAATGTGTGTGTGACTGAGAATGAGATGTGACAGGGAAGAAATGAGTTGTTACTGCAGGAGGCTATTTATTTGTAGCAGGTGTTTCTTTCTCAAAAAAAAAAATAATAATAACACGATGTCATATTAACGGTGGTCATAATCGTGCCCAAGTGTTTACTATGGGAATTACTATAGCTAATTGCCTAAAAATTGTGGTGAAATCTTATACAAAGTGGCAGCATTCACTACAGACAGCTGCCTTCTCAAAAAAAAAAAAAAATCTGTTTTCTCCGTTTCAAAGGTCTTGGGCTTATGAACCAAGTTCAAATGCCCCAGATCACTGACACTTTCTAATAGTCTCAGTGGATGTAAAACGTTTGTAAGACAATCGTTCAGAAATTGAGTCTTAAACAAGGACATTATGAAACTGGTATAATTTGTATTACATCAGAAAACCCTCCAGTGTATGCAAAGAACAATCTCAAAGGCAGTATGCAAAAAATGAGAAATGTTGCACATCTTTCATGATAGTGGGTCAGTGAAAATAAAAGTTCAGTTCTTGCAGAGGTGCAATTGTCCAGCAGAAAGGGAACAACTGTCTTGACAGAAAATGTTTTTAGCAGAGTACTGCAGGTTCTATAAAACCCTTTAAGATGTTAGCAGTATCCGGGACAATAAATGGCTTCTGGTAAGAGAACAGAGGTCTCCTCCCCCTAAATACTATCACAGTTACAAAGGGTAATAGAAAACGAAGTGAAGGAAAATAGGTTCCCCTTATAAATGCAATGTGCGTGGTCTGCGAGGGCCTAGGAAACAGAGCAGAGCGTGGTTGTCGGTTGTTTATGGCTCTGGCTGAGCACTGTTGGGTACAAGGAAATGCGGCAGGAAGAGCACAGCCCTGGGACAAAGGATGGCTGGACTCGAGTCCTTCCCCACAGTGTCCCAGTGTACGGCCTTGGGCCACTCACTGAGCCTTCCTCAGCCTCCGTTGTCATGTCTAAAAGCTGAAAAAGATAATAATACTTGCCTTGGAGGGCAGTTAGAGAAATCTCATGAGACATCTGTGATGTTTCTAGTATGGTCTGAGAACCCCTCCAACAAATTTTAGCTTCCTCTATGTACTTAGCTTGGTTAAATAAAGGGAACAGTTGCTAGTCCAAATTTCTTTTTAAATAATGATCTGTCCTCCATCAGTGGCTCTTTTGGGACACTTCACATGGCCCTCAGGCCAAGGCCCCGAGAGCCATGCTCTCTCTGTCCCCTTGATGACACCGGCACCTCTCTAGCTACATTTGTGGGCGATTTCTCTTACCCAGGGCAGGTTTTATTATCTTTGTCTCTGATTTTTCTGACAGCTGGACTTCTCATTTTTTTTTTTTTACTAGATACAAAGGAAACCTTGATTTCCGTGGCAAAAGAAAAATCAAATAGCTGTGGAATCTTCTATGGGATTCAAAAGAGAGAGAGAGGGGGAGAGAAAAAAAGAATAGAGGAATAGAGGTGGCCATGCCCCCATATTGGATAAAAAAAAAAGCCTGTGCTTTGAAATACAGAGATCTGGCTTCAGATCTGGCTTACGTGGGGGCAGCCACCAGATTTGTGAGTGTCACAACCCTGTGTGCCACGGGGAACAGAGTCCCGTCGCAGGGCCATTGTTAGGGTTGGACAAGATCAGGTGCATAAAGGCCTTAGCCTAACACCTGGCCATAACATGCCCTGATAAATCATACCCGTTATTATAGCCACTCAGATTAAATATAACATTAAAAAATATTAGCACTTAATTGTGCGTGTCTCATATACGACACACATACCTGGGAGGCAGGCGAGGGCAGCAGAGAAGGGTCTTGTTTTTCTCTAGTGACCAAAATGCTTCTTGATAAGATTTTGTTTGTTAAAATATTCTTTGTCTCTCATGCTATTTCACAAGTGATGCAAACAGAGTGGAACAGGGAAACATGGCCAGACCACTCCGTTCTCCCCATCTCCCTGCTGAGCAAGCCCCACTCGCGGGCCGGGGATGGGTCTCTTGGTCCTGACGGGAAGTGGGCCCCGCTGGTGCTGTCTCCGACTATATTCCAAATCTGCCTGCTGCTTCCTCCGTTTCTCCTGGCTCTCCGGGGATGGAGTCCTTGTCACCATGTGTGCCATCGCCTCCCCTAACAGTCTCCCTGTTTCCAATCGTCCCTGCCCTGCAGTCTACCAACAGGCAGAATAATCTGCTAAAAAGACTCACCGGATTTGGTCACTCTCCAGTTTGCAACCCCTCAGCACAGTATTCGACCCCTCCCTGTGGCCTACGGGGACCCCGTGTGACCGGAGCCTCCACGGCTCCCCCGGCTCACACCTGGCCTCATGCTCCTGCGTCGGTCTCCTGGCGCCTTGGCCTGCCCTGGGCCCCTCCCTGCAGGGGGCCACACTGTGCCCACCTTAGGCCTGTTGTTCCCGCAGCCTGGAAGCTTCAGTCCCTCGCCTAGACATGGTGGCTGCTCTCAGCCCATCATTCGGCTCTAAATGTCGTCACCTCTCAGAGGCCCTCTTGGGCAGCTCCTCCTCAACACGGTCCCGACGTCCTCTCCGCGTGGCACCCTGTCCTCTCTTCTTATCAGGAGCAGCAGCCGCACTCCGCGATGCCCCCTCTCTTATTTGTATCATCCGTCTGTCACCCCAATGAAGAGGGGCCCTGCCTGTCACATTCTCCATTACATCCTCCACGGGGTCACAGAACAGGACAGAACCCCCGTGAGGATATGTCGCGTAAATGATGGAAACATTTGCACAAATGGAAGGAAAAAATTATATTTTCTTACAGAAAGGATTGGTGGCAATGACATTTGTTACTGAACATGTGTTTTATGCAAATCACCAGAGCGTGCAACGTAGATGTGCTCGGTATTAGACACAAGCAGCACGTCACTGAACAAAAAGAGGTGCCTCTCCTGCCCCCACCAGCCTCTTTTCGGTTCCACCGGGCCGTCCATCACCAGCGCGTGATCGGCGGCGGCCTGCAGAGATGTCGTGTTCTCACTGTGGTCGTCCATCCCGGGATGGCAGCTCCTCCTGCAACACCCCCCACACGACAGCACTTCTCAGTGGTCAGATACGTGACAGCGCTTTATGCCAAATTGCAAGGGTGGCACAATCTACAAATGATACTTGACGGACCGCTACTGGCTGGAGCGACGTGGGAAGAAGCACAGGCAGCCGTAGGAGCACACCAGCCCCCAGGGGACAGCGAGCAAAGAAAGGGGGACCTCAACACCACACCCTCAAGTGACTGAATTCAGCCACACACTCGGGCTCAGAAGCAGATTCTTCCCCGGAGCCCGAGTGAGGAGTGCGGCTCTGAACCCCTCCAGCAGTCCTCTGGGGTCCCCTCGGCAGGGGACCCAGTCAAGCCCAACCGGATTTCCGGCCTACAAAACTGTAAGATAAATTCCTCTTGTTTCCAACCCCTAAGTCTGTGGTAATTTGTGATAGCTGCACAAAAAGCAAATACAGATTCTCGTCCCTGGACGTGGGGGCTGCTGTATAAACACCTAAAACCACAGAGGTGGCCTCGGAATCAGCAGGAAGTGGATGTTGGAAGAATTTTGAGGAGCGTGATAGGAAAAAAAAAAAAGCCTAGATTGTCTTGAAGAGATTGTTAGTAAAAATACGGACGTTGAAGACTGCGGTGAGGGCTCCAAAGGTGCTGAGAAACATCGTGGAGAAAACCTAACTTGCCTTAGTGCACACCTCAATCATTCTAAACAAATTGAGGAAAGAAATACGAACTTTATGGCCAGGTGTGATGGCTCATGTCTGTCATCCTAGCACTTTGGGAGGCCTAGGTGACAGGATCCCTTGGGCCAGGAGTTTGAGACTAACTTGGGCAACATAGCAAGACCCTGTTTCTACTGAAACAATAGAAAAAAATAGCCAGGCGTGGTGGCACGAGGCTATAGTCCCAGCTACTCTGGAGGAAAAGGCAGGAGGATCACTTGAGTCCAGGAGTTTTTGGTTGCAATGAGCTATGATGATGCCACTGCACTCTAGCCTGGGTGACAGGGTCAGAACCTATCTAAAAATGAATTAATTAAAATAAAAATTAAAAAAAAAACATGGATTTTTTAAAGGCACTGCTGGTAAGGGCTGAGAAGAAATATGCTATTGGAAACTGGAAGAAGGGAGATCTTGGTTACGAGACGGCACGAATCTTAGTGAAATTGTGTCCTATAGTTACGTGGAAAGCAGACCCTTTAAATGGCAAACTTGGATCTTTGGATGAAAAGATTTCCAGGTAAACAGTTGAAAGAGTGGCTTTTCCTTCCTTGCTGCTTACAGTGAAATGGAAGAGGAGAAAGAGAAATGGAGAGAAGAACTGTTGAACAAAAGAGAACCAGAGTTTGGTGATTTTGAGAGTCTCAGCCTGTCCAGATGCAAAAGATGGCAACGTTCAGAGGATACTTTGGAAAGCATGGCCTAGAAAAGGCTGTGCGTGTGGCTGTGTGGCCTGCTGCTACCTCTGCATAAAGATCACAAGGTGAGGCTGGACGCAGTGGCTCACGCCTGTAATCCTAGCACTCTGGGAGGCCAAGGCAGGTGGATCATTTGAGCTCAGGAGTTCGAGACCAGCCTGAGCAAGAGCGAGAGCCCATTTTTACTAAAAGAATAGATAGAAATTAGGTGGATAACTAAAAATATAAATTTATATTTTATATTTATATTTTAAATTTATATTTATAAAATATATATATAGGTGTGTGCCTGTAGTCTCAGCTACTCAGGAGGCTGAGGCAGGAGGATTGCTTGAGCCTAGGAGTTGGAGGTTGCTGTGAGCTAGGCTGATGCCATGGCACTCTAGCCCAGGCAACAGAGTGAGACACTGTCTCAAAAAAAAAAAAAAAAAAAAAGATCACAAGATGAGAGCAGTCGGTCACAGAAAGGCTCTTTGAGGAGGTTAAGTTTGTGGCTCACAGGTCCCCTCCATCTATCCAGAGGCCCTCAGAAAGCTCCAGGGCATCATCCCCTCAGCCATGTCGGCGGAAGACAAAAACACACAAGGACTATCTCAGACAGACGAGTGGACCTGACTCCTATCGAATGAAGAGACACCAGTGACAACCGTGGGAGACCCACAAAGTTTTTGAGAATTTTTCTATCAGCAGAAACACTGTCAGACCGGACTGAAAAAGAAAGAAAGAACAGAGAATAAAAGAAGGTTGTCAGATGCCCAAATGCTACTGGCAGAAAACAGACTGATACAGGCACTCAGAGGCAAACATGTGCCCCCTTCCATGGAAAGGTACGGATGACACAGAAAGCAGTGACAAAAGTCCAGAGGGCAGAACCAAGGCCTAAAGGATGGAGCCAAGAGCCAAGAGGACTCTGTTGGAAGAGTCCTTAGAGATACTCTCTTACAGTTGTCATGACAATACATAATATGTCTTGTACACACAATATATATCAGAAGACGGTTTAAAAATTTAGACTACTCATGTCTCTATTCCAGCAAAATGTCAAGGAAAGTAATAAAACAGAACACATAACCTGGAAAAATAGTATCTATTTATAAGGTTATAATGAAACTTAAAATGAAGTAAGATAGCAAAAGCATTCTTAGACTCTAAAGTTCTCCATAAATACTTGCTGCTAGTTAATTCTGGTAAGAGTGACAGATATGTCATCCTTAGAGAAAAGTTAACATTGAATATTTGAAGTAAAAATCACATTTCCCTAATGTTTTAAACCAGTCTATACACTTCTATGAGAAGTGTATTTGTGTTTCCATTGAATCACTTCATATTTGCTCTACCTAAGCCACTATGCTACTCTGCAAGGAAGACTCAGATAAAATCTAATAGTTTTTGCTCACCAAGCATTTAAAATCCAGTAAAAAAAAAAAAGAAGAAATGAAATGCAAACACAAGACAATTTATAGCCCAACATATATAAAACAAAATGAGATGGAGATTAGTGAAGAAATAATTACAATTTGGTTTCACATTTAGCATGAAAATTTAGATAACTGATGAGTGTGGAAAATTGACTCCTACCTTATGTAGATCGATATTAAATTTTGGGAAAAAATTTGTTAAAGATCACCAAATAATACTGGAAACATCAAAAAGTTTCCAATCAAAAAGAAGTACTAAGGTATCACTTGGTTGAGCTATAACCAAGCTCCAACAGGACTCTGTGGTCATGTTAGGTGAAACCAACTAGTTTGAATAGAACATAAAAACTCTCAGAAATAGGCAGACGTTTTCATAGATGTACAGAAAACTATCTCCGACAGAGCCAAGAGAGTGTTTCCCCTGAGAACACAAAGCCTGCCGTCCTGAGCTCAGCAGCACTAAACCTCATGAATATGAGCAGCTTTTCATGAAGCCAGTGCTAGAGTTAAGAAGTAGTTCCTATGTTTTAGAGGAAACAAGACAGAACACATCTTGGGACCTCTAGTCTGTTCTGATGACCAAAAACAGTACATTAAAAGATTACCTTGTGCCATGAGGGCTTGAATAACCACCTAAAAGCTTGGAGTGATTTTTGATTGATGTGAACATCCTTTTGTCTTCAATTCTTAGCACCCAAATTGGTCATATCTACAGCAGTTGGCAGAGCACTGTGCTCAAATCCTCGAAGCCTGAGGACTCCTGAGCAGTCAGGACCACTGACGAGTAGGATGTCAGGGTTCTAAGGCTCACACCGTAACTGACAAACTGACATACTGGCTTCCTTGATTTTGCTACCTTCTTGTAACCTTTTAAAATTAATCTTTTTTCATTTTTTTGATAATTGTAGATTCACATCCAGTTTTAAGAACTAATACAAAGAGATTCCATCAACCTTTTATCCAGTTTCTCTCAATGATATCTCTCCAAATTAGAGTTCAGTATCATAAGCAGGATATTAACATGAACATAATGGAGTTACTGGACATTTCCATCAGCACAAGGAGCTTTTCCATTCCTATGTTCCGGCCACACCAACTTTCTTTCCACCTCCACCACCTTTTTAATTCCTGGCAACCAGTTATCTGTTTCCATTTCTATAATTTCATCCTTTTGTAAACAGAATCATACACAAGCAGGGCACAAGCAGGAGGGAATGGTTTCTGGTCTGCGCACGCCAGGCCAGGGCTGGGCTGGCAACTCTGGCGCAGGGAGTTGGGCAAAGCGTGTGGCCATGCAGGACCGGGTGCTGTGGCCAGTGTCTTCTGGAGGCTTAAGCATGAGCTGGGGATAAGCTTTTTGGATTGTTTTTTTTCACTAGCATGATGGGAGATTCATCCAGATTGGTGCAGGTATTTATAGTTCATTCATTTGCATTGCTTGGTAGTATTCTATGGCACGTACGGTCGTACTTCAGTGTGTTTAACCATTCACCTGTGGAAGGACCCTGGGCCTGCTCCCGGTTTAGGCCTATGGCAAATACAGCTCCTAGAAACATTTGTGTACAGGTTTTGGAATCCACATGAGTAGTCATGTCTCTGGAATAAATCCCCAGGAGTGTGATCTCTGGGTTGTATAGTAGTTGCATGTTTAATTTTTTAAGACACTGTCAAAACTGGAAACTGTCTGTCTTCCAGGGTGGCCGTAGCATTTCACATTCCTACCAGCACTGTGTGAGTGCCCACACTCCCCACACCCACACCAATGTTTGGTCTTGTCATTTTTTATGTCAGCCATTCCGGTAGGCGTGTAGTGATGTCTCATGGTGGGTGTCATTTGCATTTCCCTGGTGGTTAATGATGCTGAATGTCTTTCCATGCGCTTATTCACCATCTGTCTTCTTCAGTGTTATGGGACTTGCAGTGTTCTGCTAAAACCATTTTTGGTAAAAACATGGTTCTCTTGCACTAGAAGACTGACCTTTTCGCAGACGTGGGGACTGCTGCAGAAGCAGGTTAAACACCTGGAGCCCAGCACCCAGGACCTAACACTCAAATCCAGCTGGCTTAAGAGTGTCACACAAGCCCAGGGCAGTGAGGCCACCTAACTCTTCTGACATGGAAAATCTCCTTTCTTTGGCAACTTTGTAGGACCAAAATTTGATCTTACTAACAAAGTTTATGATTTCCCTTACAGTATCCTGTAATAGTTTTTGAATACATATCTTTTATTTCCCTCTAGACTCTAAGAACTTCAAGGAAAGAGTCTATATCTGATTTATGATGTGATTCTCCCAGACTTTGACACATTTGACTTTGTTGAATGAATAAATGAAACAGTTTTCTTCCACGGATGGGGAAAAGAATCTCTTTCATTCACTTCATTCATTCAACAAATAGTACCGGAACCTGTCCTAGGAAAAAGGCACTTGGTTAGCTCTGGGCAGTGGAGAACAAAGGGGACCCAGCCCCAACTCTCACAAACCCACATTTGAATGGGAGAGACAGACATTTACTCCCTAGTCACACCAATAACTGTAAAGCACAAGACTCTGATAAATACTGCAAATTAAAAATTAGAGAGTGAGATGAGGGATTAAAAGGACTGATTCCTTACCTAGATTGTGGAGAGGGCAGGCATGGGTGGCTTCTTTGAAAAAGCTCAGCTCATCTGAAATGAGCTTCAAAGAATAATTTGGAATTAACTGGGGAGGAAAAGCAGAGAGAGAGAGAGAGAGAAGAGAAATGTGTGGAGAGGTGATTTTTCATCATTTCATGCAGCGAAGTATGGAATTTGAGTATATAACGTTTCTGAGACATGAAAGAGTTTTCTGGAAAACTGGAAACACTAACAGAAGTTCAGGAAAGTGAAATGATCCTAAAAAGGTAGGGAGGGGCCAGGAACACAAGTCTCATTAGTCCTTTTAGACCTTGTCAAGGCCTTTCATCCTAAAACCAAACTGGCACAGAAGGAGCATGGAGATAGTGGCCTTTGGAGACTTTTAATAGCTTTTAAAGGGATGATACTAGTCTAGAACAAGCTTGACTATGTTTAGAACCAGGGAGGTTCTCTGGGAAAGCTTTCTGACTGCCCATCGAGCATGTGTCAGAACATATTTAGGGCAGGAAATGCAGGCTGACTTATTGCTGTGCCTTTCCCAGTTCCCAGAGAATCGCAGGAGACCCTCGCTCTCTCTACTCTTCCTTCTGGAGCCTGGTCACTGGTGATCGATTCTCACGTGCCTTAGAATCACGTGAGGGAGATTTTCGGCACCTGCCCATTCCCTAGAGGTTCTGATTCATCAGATCCAGAAAAGCTATATTCTTCAAAAGCTTTTCAAATGATTTTATGTGAAACCAGGACTGCGAATGACTGGTTTTTTAGAAATACATTGTGAAAGATGTGATGTGCTGATGCCATCTTCTCCTTGCAGTGAATCGAAGGAGAGAAGACATTTCCTCAGAGAGATCAAGGGCGTTTTCCTTAGTCATGTAATAAACACATTTACATGTAATAGCTAAAGCTTAATTTCTTCCTAAATACCATTGTCGAGAGGATTCTTGGGAGTCGGAAGCACAAGGAAGCTGTCTCCCACCTAGACAATAATTGCACTGGCAGAATCTGCCTTGTGCAACGTATTCTGGAACTCTGGAGTCCATGAAGCCCTGCAATTTATAGGAGAAGGCTTGGACAGCAAACGGTGGCAAATGGCAGTCACTTTCAGCTCTTAGCACAGTAGCAACTACTCATCCCCACTTGCCCAGCCCTGTGGCAGGCAGTCCTGAGCATGGTCCCAAAGCAGCTTTCATGCAGTTTGCAGGAGCCAGAGTAGACAAAAAAGGACACTGTCCTCCTAATATCAGCAGCATTTGCTCTGATCGTAAAAATGCAGCCATTATTGTTGTGTCTTCTCCCATTGTTGTACGTCCTGCCCTCGGGCTGAAACAATTTCCAGGGGATTTAAAGGGCTGCTGGTCTTCCCCCACTCTTCTTCATTTTTCTCCTTTCCCCCTTTTGGGAGCCAGACAATAAAGATCAGGACATTCAAAAGCAACTGCATAAATGGGAAAAATTAAAAAGTGGCCATGCACGCCCCAGGAAAGGCACCGGGTCAGAAAAGACCTCAGAAGACATTAAGCTTACACTTCAGGCTGATCCTTGTTGCAGAGACAGCATACAACAATAAAAAGTTATACGCAAAAACAGCAGCAGTAAACAGCGAAACCTGGAGAAGGGGGAGAATCTGATTTCCAGAGTTATCAGATTATTATGTTCAAATGTCCAGTTTTAAACAAAAAACCCACAAGGCATACAAACAAAAAAAATATCAGGAAAGCATGTCTATTCAGAGGATAAAAATAAGTCAACAGAAACTGTCTCTGAAAAAGAATTTGATGGTAAATGTTCTCGACAAAGACTTTTAAACAACTGTCTAAAAGATGCTCAAAGAACTAAATGATGTAGAAAAAGTCAAGAAAATAATGAAGGAACAATATGGAAATGTTAACAAAGAGAGAGAAAACCTAAAAAGAAACCAAAAAGAAATTCTGAAGCTGAAAAGTACAAAAACTGAAAAGAAAAATTCATTTGATGGGTTCGAAGGCAGATTTGAGCAGGAAGAAGAAATAATCAGCAAACGTACAGGACAATGGAAATGATCAAGTCTCAGAAACAGAAAAAGAAAAGATTGAAGAGAAGTGAATGGAGCCTAAGGGCCACATGGAAGTGGACCAACATATGCATTGTGGAAATTGGAAAGGGAGGGAGAGAGAGAGAGAGAGAGAGAGAGAGAGAGAGAGAGAGAGAGAGAGGCAGAGAGAATATCTGAAGAAACAAATTCCTAATTTGATGAAAGACATGAATATAAATGTTCAAGAACCTCCACAAATTCCAAGATGAACTCAGAGAGACCAACACTGAGATCCATTATAACTGAACTTTCAGAAGTCAAAGAGAGAATCTTTAAAGCATCAAGAGAGAAGTGACTCATCACATGGCAAGAGATCTCAACAAGATTATCAGCAGATTTCTAGGCAGAAACATCCAAGTCTAGAAGGCAATGGGCCAACATATTTGAAATGTTAAAAGAAAAGAAGCTATCAACCAAAAATCCTACATTTGGCAAAACTTTACTTAAAAAGTGAGGGGGAAATTTTGACATCTCCACATAAACAAAAACTAAGGGAGTTTGCTGCCTCTAGACCTACCTTGCAAAAAAATACTTAAGGGAGTCCTTCAGGGTGAAATGAAAGGACACTGACAGGCTACATGAAGAAATAAAGATCTCAACAGAGGTAAATACATGGACAACTGTAAAAAACTAGTGTTATTGTGTAATGACTTATAATGGCATTTTTTTGTTTTGTATGTGATTTGAGTCTAATACATTTTTAAAAAACAATTAGCTGGTATTATTATAACTTTAGTTAGTTATCTCCATATTTTGTTTTCTACATAATTTAAGAGACTAATGCATTTAAAATAATAACAGGCATATCTCAGAGATATTGCAGATTGGGTTTCAGACCACTGTTCTTTGTGGTTACCATGCGGATTACAGGTACAACTAGATCTATCAGACAAAATCATAGTGGCAGAAAGTAGAATGATGGTTGCCACGGGCTGGAGGGAGAGAGGAATGTGAAATTATTGTTTAGTGTGTAGCATTTCCATTTTACAAGATGAAAAATGTTATGGAGTTGGAGGGTGATAATGGTTGTACAGCATAATGAATGTATTTAATGTCACTATTGTATATGTAAAATAATATAATGGTAAATTTTATATCATGTAAAAAAATAAAAAAAGAGAAAAATTAAGCCAGTAATAAATATAATAGCATTGTTATTTCTTTTAATTGAACGGAAGAGCTTAAATGGAATAACAGTGATATAGTCTGTCTTAGTCAACTCAAAGCACCATAAAAAATTACCATAGACTGGGTGGCTTAACCAACAGAAAGTCATTTCTCACAGGCCTGGGAGGTAAAAGTCTAAGGTCAAGGTACCAGCATGTTCAGTTTCTGGTATGGGTCCTCTTTCTGGCTCATGGATGGGCACCTTCTCACGGTATGTTTACATGGCATGGAGAGATAGAGGTTAGGACTTCAACACATGGATTTAGCAGTAGGAAGAGGGAAATAAGTCAAGCCATAGTAGTCTATCATTTATTTAATTGAACACTACAGTTTTCACCCTAACTAGCAAATAGAAGAGAGAGTGTAAACTAATGCTATGGCAATAATGCCAACATTTATGAACATCACAATGACAAAACTATTTTTTTTTTATTTTTTATTTCAGCATATTATGGGGTTACAAATTTGAAGGTTTCAAATAATGCCCTTTCCTCCTCCCACAAAACTATTTTCTTAATTGTATTTTTTTTCTTTCAATTTTTAAATTGATGATGAAATGTCTATATAGGAAAGCAGGTTAAAGACGAGCTCTGGTTTCAAACTACCTGATTTTGGTTTGTTTTTTGTTTTGTTTTGTTTTGAGACAGAGTCTTGCTTTGTTGCCCAGGCTAGAGTGAGTGCCGTGACATCAGCCTAGCTCACAGCAATCTCAAACTCCTGGGCTCAAGCAATCCTGCTGCCTCAGCCTCCCGAGTAGCTGGGACTACAGGCATGTGCCACCATGCCAGGCTAATTTTTTCTATATATATTAGTTGGCCAATTAATTTCTTTCTATTTATAGTAGAGACGGGGTCTCATTCTTGCTCAGACTGGTTTCGAACTCCTGACCTCGAGTGATCCACCCGCCTCAGCCTCCCCAAAGTGCTAGGATTACAGGCGTGAGCCACCGCGCCCGGCCCGAAACTACCTGATTTTGAATCTCCTCTCGTTATTTACTACCAATGTAACACTGGAAAAACCTGTTTTACTGTTAAAACCTCAGTATCCTCATGTGCAGGACCAAGATGATTGAAAGCATGTCATAGGGTTGTGATGAGTGTCAAATGCGGTAATACTACAGACAGGTGAGCGTGGGTCCTAATCCAGTGATCTCTCAATTAACGCCCATTGTGCCTACAGGAGACAGGGAGGGAGGACTTTGCATTCACAACTAGCAAGCACTGTCATGGGTGTTCTTCCACCACCAAAGAGGAGGGGGAGAGAACAGGTAGCAAAATCAATTAAGCAACTACAAGTGGCCAAGCTCTCTGCCAGGTCTTGTATACACATCATGTCATTGCTTGAAGCAAGCGCAGGAGGTAAGTATCATTATTTCCATTTTTACAGATGGAGAAACTCAGGCTCAGTCAGTTAAGTCACTGAGAGCCACACACCTGACACTGGGATATATTTTAAACCACATCACATTGAGGTAGGCTCCCAAATTATTTCATCGGTGTGTATCTATGGATGCTTTCACCAACCATCAGAGTTTGTGTTTCGTGCTCATTCCCCACTCAATCTCTTCCCCCCGAAATGGCTGGTTCTGGAACCCACGGCTCTTGTTGGCAGCACGTTCTCAACTCTCAGGGTTGCGAGCAGATGCCTGTCGCTTGGGGGAGCCTGACCTTGGGCCTTGAGAGGCTGGAGTAGCAGTTGGGGCAGTGAAAAGCTCTCGTCCATTCTCCTCCAGGTGTCCACGTGTTCACATTTCCACGGCAGGTAGGAGGCTGTGAATCATGGCTCCCTTTTGACTAAACCTTTCCACTCCCCCGTTCAGCCCATTCTCCCTCCTGGGTCACTGTCACTGGGAGGAATTTCCGTCCTGATTCTGGCACTCTGGACTCTACTTCCCAGGAACTGATTTTTGCCTCTAGCAAGTGAAGGATGCCCAGGCCCTGACAGCACTGCGTCTGCTGCCCTCTGCTGCCCATAACTGGGAATGTTACCTGTTTAACCTTGCAGACAAAATTTGAGGGTGCGCAGTGGAAAATCATGCTACCAATATTGCTCAACCTCTTATAGAGGGAAAAAACACAAAATTTAGGAGACACCAATAGCAAAAATGATAAGATCCAAGTGGAACACATGTAACAGCTGACTCTTGAAGAAAACATTATTAAGGGAACAGAAGAAAACTTGATCTTTAAAAAAAATTTAACATCTTCAGGATCAACAAGCTAATGAATAGGTGCTATGAATCAAAATGATCAAAGAGGTTTACTGCTTTATGTTTAATTTCTTGGAAATTAAAGATATGATTGGCCAAAGGAATAGTTTAATAGAAGGGCTTGAAGATTTAGTTTAATGATTCCTATTTGACCTTGACACTTGGAACATTTGTCTCTCAGTTTTAATAACTTAATATTACATTATTTTCCTCAATAGGTAAATCCATGCTCTTTGGCCCATCAGTAAGGGGTAATTTAATAATCATAATAATGTAAATGTTATTTCAATTTGTAGAGTCAGCATATAAACAAAACTTGGTAGACAATAATAATAACTATAAAAGATAATTTGACTAGTATTAATGTTGATAATGTAAAAAAAATCAAAGTCTGGATGTTAAGGTAGCAGAAAGATGTGGCAGGTAATGTTAGACTCAAATTTTCTCACCATATGTAGCAAAAATTAAGATAAAATTAATGAGACAAAATAGAGTTGAACCATATTCTTTAAAATTATAAAGATAACCACCGGAAGAACAGAAATAATAAGCCTGAAAAAATGTAGGCGTTGGTGGACAAAGAAATATGAACTAAGTTTGTTATCTTTCAATAGATATCATCAGAAGTTGGAAAACAAAGAGTAGGCGTATTAGCACACGCATAGAGTTATGGTGATAACAGGACAAAACAGGTCTTCAAATAGGAGCTAGATTAGAAGTGAGGAATGGGTGAATGAAGTCAGGTGGAGAATTTATTCTTCATTTGGTACCACTCTGACCTGTTTCATTTTCTTTTTACTTGTGTGTTAATCTTATGCCATAAAAGTTAAAAGTAAAAACAAAAACAAAACTTCCTGCAGCTGCAGCTCTTGGCATCATTTCTTCCCCCAGCTGCAGCTACTTTCTTTGTGCTCACGGTCAGATCCCCCGTGAGACAGGAGGGAATAAAAGAGGCAGTAGGAAAAGTTCCTGCCCTGAAGTTCATGTTTTCTGGGGTCTCTTTTTGGTTGCGTTGTGCCTGTGTTCTATCTTTTCACGGGCCCAATCTTTTGGAATACTAACATTTGACCACTTTATAACCCATTATATCTAGAATCTCCTTAAAGTTTTGCTAAATTTGGGCATCTTTCTGTTATTTCTTGATGAGAGTAATCTTGACTCACTGGCCCTTTCTGTGATCCTTGTATTTTAGTTGTTTTCTTTTTCTTTTCTTTCTTTCTTTTTTTAATCTTGGCCATTGTCAACTACTCCGAGGACCAACGTGGCCTGCTTAGGGAGGAATGAATTGTCTATGGAAGAGTGATGGCAATTATTATTATCAGAATAAAGAAAAAGTGAAATATTATTAAGTTGAAACAGTGCTGAGGGCAGAGGGCAATTGATGGTCATTACTCCATTCCTCATATTTTCATAGAGAAGAGTGGACTTCACTCTCCTAGGAAGAGCA